CTGCCCGGCGGCTGGCGCTCCCCGGCTTCCGCGCGCCGCGCCCTTGCGGCCGCGGAGGCGGAGTCAGCCAAGGGCTGCGAGAGGTTTTCGGGAAAGTTGAAATTAAGCCCAAGGTCAGGCTCGGAGAGTCTGGTATTCTCCACGCTTCTCTAAAACGCGGTGGCAGCGCATGAAGAGGATCTGGTGCCACGGCGTGACGCGGGAGCGGGTAGCCGCGGTGGAGAGTCCGTGCGTCTCCAGAACAGGTCGCCAGACAAGCCGAGCGGTTCCAGACCCGCTCACTAGGCGGCGCGCGCTTGAAGCCCTCCTGCAGCCCAGACCTGACAGGTGACCGAGCACCGGGCGGTCCGTAGAGGCCCGGAAGCGCGACCTTCGTGACAGATCATCCTGCGTTTGTCTTTATTGTTGACTCAAAGGAGCAAGGACCGCCTGCGCCCTGTGAGCCCCCAGGTTCGGGATGTGGGAGGCACTGGCCTCACATATTCCCCGGGAAAGGCGAACAGAGCCGGAGAATCTGAGCCTAGAAAGTTAAGTCCTCGCTGATGTGCTGACTGTTCATCACCAGGTGATGGCGCTCCGCACGGAACGAACTGTGCACGTAGACATCCCGGGAAGCCCCCCACCCTCCTCCATGTGCTCTGTATAGCGAACGATCGCCTTCCGACAGCGTCAGAAAGTGGAGTGTTGATGTTTGGGGGCAAGGACCGTTTCAGGTCTAGGGATAGGAAGGAACTTTGGGATTTTCTTGTATGCACATGTTTTCTTCACTGTAACTTTTTCATTAATTAGTTTTTAAAAAGACCACATCTTTGGGCGTTTGCTGGTGAAGAGGGCTGTGGAAGGGAATAACGGAATTAGTTGTCCTGAAACGGACCTCCACTGTGAGATATGGCCGGCCTCTCTTCCTCTGCAGCCCAAGGGCAGCAGAACCCAGCCCACTATTACAGGGCCTTTCCTTCTCCACCCCGTTATCCTTCCAAGCTACCCGCATTTACAGTTTCTGCCGCATTCACGTTAGCCCACGATCATCTGCAGACATATGGATCTCTTCTCTGTATTGATGGAGATGTTGGGAAAAAACCCTCTAGGTGTGAATACATCAAATTCAATGCATATTTATTGGGTGCTTACTCTGTGTAAGAGACTGGGCTAAGGATTGAAGGTTACAAAGCCCCAGATCTAGAGAATAAGAAAGAGTAAGTTTTCTACTCAATTCTATTGTGAACCTGAAACTGCTGTAAAAGAATAAAGTCTATAAAAAAGAAGGAAGGAAGGAAGAAAGAATAAGTAAATGCCAAGAAAAAAGAATAACCCAGTGTCCTGGGCTCCAGGCAAAAGAAGAATCCATCATGTCTGCAGTCACTGGGGGATGCTTTGCCGAGTGTCATTTGAGCTGAGTGTGACTAGGATTAATGCAAGTAAAGGAGGAAGGACATTCCAGGCAGTGTGAGCAAAGGCATGTGAGTACAAATGAGTGGTGGGCTCGGGGAACTGCTATGGGGCTGCGAATCTCCTGTGGTAGGAGATGAGGCTAGAAAGGTAAAAGAGCTCCCAATTATAAAATCCTAAATGAAAGAGAGTGTCCTGTAGTAGGCCAGGGTTTCCTGAAACGTGGGTCCTTTACCATCAGCGATCAGAAAGATTATTTTGGTTTTATGATAGGACATATTGTAATATTGACCCACATGATAAGAAAGTCACTGCCTTTTCAGTTGTCTTTCAGTCTTTCAAATCATACCATTTATTGGTTGTGTGACCTTGAACAAGTTACTTTACTTCTCTGTGGCTCAGTTTTCTCATCTGTAAAATGGGTACAATAAAAATAGTACCTACCTCATAGACTAGTTGGGAAGAATACATGAGTTGACAGATGTAAAGGCTTGGGAAGGTGCTTACCCCTGGCATTGCAAGTTTTGTTGCCATTTGAGTTTTGAGGCCACCTTACAAAAGCACTTTTGGTTTTCAGAGCTTTTGGGGTTTTAGAATTATGGATCAGAGTTTGTGGGAAATATTCAAGAAAACCTTACGCCGGTTTCTAACTTAAGCAACGAGGTGGATGGTAATGATGTTAAATGACCTAGGAAATAGTTTTAAGGAGAAAGGGGTTTTTTGGCAGGTTGAATTTGAAATGATTTGGTGGCAACTAATTATACAGGGTGAATGGCAGAGAATCAGGAGCTCAGAAAGGAGAGCATTTGTAGTGGGAACAGAGTTTTGCAAGTACTTGTTTAAGCCAATGTCAAGCAGTGACATTGCTTATTCTGGGCCACACAGAGAGCGAGGCGTGGGGGCGTCTAACAGCTGAGGGAGGAGCATGCGTGTCACGCACTGCTCAGAGGTGTGTGCTGTGACCACGCCCACCCTGTCTGGCCCTGCTCATTCCACCAGGGAGATAACAACAACAAAAAAGAACAGTGCGCTAGACAGAACGGGAGTGGCAAATACGGTAAATAGAAGTTAATAAAGATAAGAACCAAGGGGAAAATTTTTAAAGAATGAGACGAAGAGGATAACAGGTTGTTGTTAGGGAAACCCAAGGGGATGGTTATACGGAATTGCTCTCTTTAAAAAAAAAAAAGATTGCATTCATCAATGTTGGTTCTAGAAGGAGAACCAACCCTTAGGAATCACCTTCTCTTTGGAATCTTACTCTAATTGATTACTACTTCCTGCATTACCTTAGCTCAGTAATTCTCAAAGCGTGGTCTGTGGGACCTAAGAGATCTCTGAGACCGCTGCAGGGGCTTCGGAAGGACAAAGCTGTTTTCATAATTACACTGAAACGGTGTTTGCTTTGTTTCACTGTGTTGACGTTTGCACTGATGATGTGAAAACAATGGCCAGTAGAGCAAATCAAGGCGGTAGCACTGAATTGCATGAACAGTTATTGTATCCTTCATATAAAAAGAAAAAAATTGCAGGGGGAGGGTATAGTTTGGTGGTAGAGTGTGTGCTTAGCATGCACAAGGTCCTGGGTTCAATCCCCAGTACCTCCATCAAAATAAGTTAATAAATAAACCTAATTACCACCCTTCCCAAAAAAAGGCAAAACAAAAAACAACAAAAAACTTTAAGCAAGAAAAAAGAGAAAAAAATGTTATGTTCACTTTGAAATGTCTTTCACAAAGCAGTAAAAATTAATAACTTTATTAAACCTTAGCTCTTGTGTACAGGTTTTTAATAATGTATGTGACAAATGGGAAATGCACCTAAAGTAATTCTGCTGCATAACCAAGGATGATGGCTGTTTTTTTTTTTTTAAAGAAAAAAAAAAAGCATTGGCGTGACACTTTGAGCTGCATGCTGACCTAGTCACTTTATTTCACGGAACAACACTTTCACTAGAAAGAATGACTAATAATAGGCAAATTGTGGTTATTTGGATTTGGATATTTGGAAGACATTTCCCTGAAAATGTACAAAGTGAGACTATTGTTTCATATTCAGTGGAAAACCACTGATAACATTTGTTGCCAATGATAAAATTTAAGCTTTGAAGCAAAATCAGGATTTTGGAAAACTTATAGCTGCTTTCATGCACTCAAACATTTCAACTTCCCAAACGTTTACAGACTTTTTTGATAGGGTGGACAGAGATAGTAACAAATGTGATTTCTTGATATTATATAATGAAATAAGCCAACATTTGGAAGATCTATATATGAATATAGTTCAGTGAATCAATATTTTCCAAAGACCAATATCTTCACAAGATGATCACACATCTGTGGGACCAAGATGATATCACAAAATCATCAATAGATAAAAACCCTTCAAAGTGGATTTGAAAAGCTCACTGAAAATGGTTTCAGATCCTACATTGCAACTAGACTTTAAAAGACCACCATTTGTTGAGTTTTGGAATAATAGCAAAGAATATCTACCGTTACCGGAAAAAGCTGTTAAAAATTTTCTGCCTTGTCTTCCGCTTAGCCAGTCAGAAAAAAAAAGATCTCTAAAAATATGAAATAATGCCAGCCAACTTATCTATATGCTTTAGTTCAGGGAAAAAAATTATAAAAATGTGGTTAAATGTTACCATGTAATGAGTTTATTATTGTTATTTCAGAATAAAGCCATACGTACGTATTTCACAATTTTCTTAGTTTTAATTTCCAGTATAGAAATTATTGATAGTTAGAAAGCATATGAACAAAAACTCTTTGAGGTCTTCAATAATTTTTAAGCATGTAAAGGAGTCTTGAGATTTAAAAAAAAAGGGAGAGAGAATTGTCCTAGGTTAAAGGGAGGATTAAAAATAAAATCAGCTCTGCTGAGAAGGCTTTTATTCAAATGGGGGCAGAAGACCCGTTGATCGATACCCTGTGAAATTGCTGGGAGCGCACACAAGGCTGGGACTTTTAAGCCAGATGTTAGTAAAAGTAATGAGTTTACAGCATGGAATTAAACCCTCACATTAAAGTGGAAATTTTGGCTTTCTCTCATGAGTTCCCACTCAGACCTGGGGACATTAACTGCAGAAGCCGCTCTCCCACCTGCTATGATCTCTGGTTTCCTGGCTGGAGGAGCTTCAGTAGTTAATAGAAAACAATCATTCCTCTCAGGGTGGGGGCTGGTGGCTTCTCGTTTACCCGCAGGAGAACCCACGATCCCAGAGAAGACAGACGAGTAAAAATCTCCCACAGGAACTGGCCAAGAGAAGCTCTCGGAGGTTTAAAAATTCAGCTTTAACTGTGCGGAGTGAGACCGTTTATCATAAAAAAGTAAGAGATGAGAACGTGGAGGGGTGGACGTTAACTAGAGCTGCCCTTGCTGGCAAGGGTCTTACAGGGTCAAGACTACCAAATGCGAGGAAGCAGCAGAAAGAGGGTGGAACGTATGGCTTGGAGTGTATGGAGCAGGAGAGCATTTGGAAGACGGTGGGGACTGTGGGAAGGAGATGGTGTGTAAGGTGACCAGCTGTCCCAGGTTCCCGACACAGGCCATTGGATGCTAAAGTCCCAGCACGGCGGGTCACTGTGAGAGAGTTTAACAGATTGGAGGCACTTTCAGGGTTGGTAGGGGTGAATAAGTGGATGGTAGAGGCAGGATCACAAGAGGATGAAAAAGAAAACTTAAGAAAGAACAACAATTATGTTCATGGATTGTTGAAATGGCTCAGCTACAGGAAAGAATCCTTTCTGGGGAAGGGCTGAAGAAGGAAGCCAGATTAGAAAGGACTTTAAAAATGGACCAGAGTGTCTGGACTTGAGGAGAGATGAGAAACCCTGGAGCAGTGAGAAAGAGGTGTGAGGAAAAGTATTCCCTCAAGAACTATGTGTGAATTCTCTGCTGGTGGGAAGGTAGTTGGTGCATACACTGTGGAAAACAGTATGGAGATTCATTAAAAAACTAAAAATAGGCTTACCATATGATCCAGCAGTGCCACTCGTGGGCATGTATCTGGAGGAAACTCTAATTGGAAAAGATACATGCACCTCAATATTCATGGCTGCACTATATACAATAGCCAAGACATGGAAGCAACTTAAATGTCCATCGACAGATGACTGGATAAAGAAGTTGTGAATACATATAGATATATATATATATATATGCGCGACAATGGACTGCTGCTTAGCTTAGCCATAAAAATAATAAAATAATACCATTTGCAGTAACATGGATGGACCTAAAGATTATCATACTAAGTGAAGTAAACCAGAAAGAGAAAGACAAATATCACACGATATCACTTATATGTGGAATCTTAAAAAGTGACACAAATGGACTTATTTACAAAACAGAAAGACACAGATATAGAAAGCAAACTTTTGGTTAGTTGGCGGAGGGATAAATTGGGAGGTTGAGATTTGCAGATACTAATCACTATACATAAACAAC